ACAAGCCGAAGAGTCTGATCCCCATCATATACACTTGTGCAGTCATCATCGCAACAATGCCGTCTATCACAAGCTATCTAAAGAGAGTCATGGGATGGCATTTCCCGAAAATTGTTGGGTTTGAGCTTGTGACTTCTCTGGTAATGGCTTTTATCAGTTGTCAACTCTTCATCCTCTGTCAGAGACCGTCTTTATGATTCCACTTCCCAGCAAGACCAAAACACAGTTCAACTGCTCTTTAGGCAGAGCTTTTTGTTAATGGGAAACTCTTGCGATGCACTTGCCTTGTTTTTCGCAGGACTCAGTTCGATGGAAAACTTTGATCATTCCCATCTTTATTTGTAGAAGAATATTGAACATCTTTTTATAACTTATTGATTTGGGAAGTGTCATTCGTTGAAGCATGGACTCAGAATCACAGTGATATGAACAAAAGTTTATCTTACAAAACTATCGCTATAAAGCATACGAGGATTGGACTAGCGCGTGTACTTATAAATAACAATATACTAGATTTTAATCATGATTTATTTTTTAAAATTAGTATATATAAAATTTTGGAAATTGTATCTCTTTATATTTTATAGTTTACAATTGTTATTAAGTAACGATATACCACGAGTCTACGGGACAATTGTTAATAAATTGAGAATTTAATCCGTATTAAAGCGGCATGTTAATAATATTTTAAAATTTTATAAATATTGATTCAAACCCGTCCGCCATGTAAACCCGTTCCAAAATATAAGCCGTCTCGTAATTTCTTAACCCGTCCCGTGATTTGTTTTCTAAATTAGTGATTTTAAAATTTAATGATTATTTATTATATAAAAAAGTTTACAAATTGTATCATTCTCTGAGAAATTTATATTTTAATAAACTGATGATTTAATCTGTATTAAAGCGGCATGTTAATGATATTTTAAAATTTTATAAATATTGATACAAACTCCTCCACCATATAACCCCGTTCTGAAATATAACCCGTCCTGTAATTTCTTAACCTGTTCCGTAATTTGTTTTCTAAAAGTAGTAATTTTAAAAATTAAACGATTATTTATTATATATAAAAGTTTGCAAATTGTATGATTCTCTAAGACATTTATATTTTATAGTTTACAATTGTTATTAAGTAACATTATACCACAGAACAATTTTTGGTTTTATACAATCTTTTCTAAATGAGACCGATTTGATATGTCTAAATGAGACCGATTTGATATGTCTAATATTGGTTATGTGTCAAACTCAAAATTATTTTCATATTTTTTATTTTTTATTTATTTAATTATATTATTCATCTTTGCAAAAATTGATCATTCGCATCTTTATTTGTAGAAGAATATTGAACCATCTTTTTATAACTTATTGATTTGGGAAGTGTCATTCGTTGAAGCATGGACTTAGAATCAGAGTGATATGAACAAAAGTTTAATTTACAAAACTATCGCTATAAAGCATACTAGGATTGGACTAGCCCGAATCGTGTACTTATATTAAAAGAGAGTTTTTGATGCTTATGTGTCAAGCTCACAATTATTTTTTATTTTTATTTATTTAATTATATTATTCATCTTGCACAATACTTTTAATTCCATATACTATTTACTTTTATTAACTAAAGTTACCAAAATTAAATATCTTGAAATTTTAAATTAAAAAAACTTCTATACAAAGATTTTTGGGAAAAATGTCATTAAAATCCCCAACTTATTCAAAACGTTGATTTAAATCCTCAACTCACGGCGAAACGAAATAAATATCAAACTTATGTTGACTTTCCAAATAAATATTAAACTTATGTTGACTTTCCAAATAAACACCAAACTTTCATTGACTTGGCCATATTAGGCATGACGTTAAGTGAGTTAACAGACAATGTTAACGGAATTAATTTTCTGTTAACAGACCCGCTAATTAAAAATGACAGTATTGTTGAACTATAATCAAATCTCATCTAAGTCATATAACCTAAAGTCGTATTCATATAAGTTAGTTATTTACGTAAGAGTCACGAATGTACGTACGTATAGTTGTGTCTGTTCGTAAAGTTGTGTCTTTTCGATTAACACATGTACGTACACGTTGTTTCGTGTTGTATAAGTAGATCAAGTCAAACTCAATAACATCATTGTGTGTAATACATTTCCTCTTATCAATAAAGATCAAGTTTCTTCATACTCTATTTTTCATTTTGGTTTTGTTCTTCATACTCTGTTAAAACAGAGTTCGTTTGTTGATCAAAACACTAACAAGTATTCCTTCTAAACATAAAACGACTTTGTTTTGTCGAAACTGTTCATTAAAATCCCGAGTTTCAAATCATACTCTATTTAGGGTTAGGGATTTTGCTCGATTTGGGAATCGAATATTGACTTTAGGGATTTAATTCAATCGTTACGACAAAACGACGTCGTTTTGTTGTTATATGAAACAATGTCGTTATCAATTAACATATATGTTAACAGAAAATTACCTCTGTTAACGGGATCTATTAACCCACTTAACGTCGTACCTAATATGGCCAGGTCAACGGAAGTTTGATATTTATTTGGAAAGTCAACATAAGTTTGATATTTATTTGGAAAGTCAACATAAGTTTGATATTTATTTCGTTTTGTCATGAGTTGAGGATTTATTAACCCACTTAACGTCGTACCTAATATGATCAGGTCAACGGAAGTTTGATTTTTATTTGGAAAGTCAATGAAAGTTTAGTGTTTATTTGGAAAGTCAACCTAAGTTTAATATTTATTTGGAAAGTCAATATAAGTTTGATATTTATTTCGTTTCGTCATGAGTTGAGGATTTAAATCAACGTTTTGAATAAGTTGGGGATTTTAACGACATTTTTCCCAAAGATTTTTATATTAAATTCATTGTGTTTTTCAATTGAAATTAAACAATATAAACATATAAGATATTTGTCTTTGTGGACGTTATGGAGAATATAGAAAAGTCGAAATAAATTGGTCTTTCAACAAAGACAGAATAGATGGGAGAAAGATTTGCGTTAGGCCTACCAAGACGCTGAGGAGTCTTATGTGAAACAACCCCCGCCCCAAGGGATCAGAAGGAATCAATCAAGATGGAAGAGACCGAAGCCGAATTGGGTAAAGTGCAACTACGATGGAAGTTTCAACAATCGACTTCAACGGACTACATCGGCACGGTATTTTTTTTTTTTTTTTTTTTTTGATAAACCCTATCGGCACGGTTGAGTCGTGATGAACACGGTGTCTTTAAAGGAGCAGGTCAAGCTACAGGCCCGAGGGTAAATAATGCATTCGAAGCGGAATGTCAGAGCCTTATCTTCGCCATGCAACAAATGTGGATTAAAGGTAAGGTTACAGGAAAGTGATTTTTGAAGGGGACTGTGGCAATTTAGTGAAGATTCTTAAAGGACAGACCATGAAGTTTGACGCTCTTAATTGGATTCATGAAGTCAAGAGTTGGGCAAGGCGATTTGATGCTATTGAATTTAACTGGGTTCCAAGGACAACGAATCAACATGCAGATACTCTAGCAAAAATACAAAGATCGGAAACAGTTTCGATTATCTATCATCATTTCATTCCTATTTGTATTTCTGATACTCTGTTAACTGACTTCATTGGTTCAATCTAATGGAATAAAGCTGAGTTAAAAAAAAAAAAAACATATAAGATATGCATTTTTTAACATCAACAATTTTTTTTTATACATTACAAAAATTAAAATTTAAATAGTAAATCTATAAGTCTAAATTTATGAATGACGTAAAATGCAATTTTCTTTGTATATATAAAAGTCATTAAAATATTGAAATTTAATATGTAAATTTATTTATAGACTAAAACGTTGTGTTATTGCATGATATTTATAATATTTTAGCTCATTTACAAAATTTAGCTTTGACATCTCATGGTTTAATATTCTCATAAAATTAAATACATGAGATTTACCCGTGCAGGACACGGGTTCTTACATAGTATATATATAATAGTAGAGAAAAATGATAAATTGTTTATAATTAAAATCTGTCATATTAATTATGTTTTAGCCGCAAAATAGAAATTTGTTTTTTTGGAGTTCTAAAATTTGGTCATATAATAATAACATAGAGTTAAAACATAAGAATAGTAGAAATATTTGCATTCCAATGAGTTAGGTGTCTATTTTAGAATTAAGAGAATGATGTAATGAATAAAATAAAGAGATTATGAATAAAATAGTATTATAGTTTCTTATAGTAAATCAAATAATCTATATATATATATATATATATATATATATATATATATATATATAATTAGAGAGTTCTCACTCCATCTAGGGTGTCCACATCTGCATCATTGTCTTCACATTTTTTATTTTTGTGGACTCCATCTATCTTATTATTAAAACAAAAACATTAAATCTAAATTAATTCACATATTTTATTTTATTACTTTCATTGAAAAATAATAATTTACAAAAAAAATAAATGAAAAAACAATAAAGGTTCTTACTAAAAAAAATAATTTCTTTTTTTTTGGTTTTTTTTTTTAATATTAGATAACTTTTGCTATGGTCTCCAAACCAAAGCTACTCTGCTCTAGTTACACTTGACTCTTGTCTTCAGTTGCTTACACCTATTAATCATATAGTATAAGTATATATCAAAATACCGAACATTTCTTTGTACAGAAAATCGGAATTACTACTAGCAAATGGGGAATGGGCTATCAAGTGGGAAAAGAATAAGAGCATTCACAGTGGAAGTCTCTCATCAAGTCTCTCAACAATATTAAAAAGAAAAATAATGAAAAAGAAGAGTGAGAAACGATAATCGATTCTCAAATGAGAACATGTGAGAACCTCTCTAGAAACTCTTTTTACATATGGCAAAATTTGATGGCTTTGCTTTTTCTTTTTAGTTTTAAATTTAAAACAACAATTAAATTATATTAAAAACATTAAAATAATAATTTTTGAGAGATTAATTCTACGAGTCTCTACCACTGCTCATGCTCTAAGTCTTTGGGAGAAAATTTAAAAACAACCTCAAAAAAATAGAAAAAGAAAGAGAAATTATTCGACAACAATCAAACTCATCAACAGAGACTGTTTTGTTAAGCAAATAGAAACAAATTTATCTGGTTTAAAAAAACCTAAAATAGATGACATAATAAAAACCAAATGATATACGTACTAATAATCTTGTTCTTTCCTTTTGCCTCGTGCACCTTGCTGGATCCTCACCAAACTCGGAGAATAGGAGCACACGAGAGGGTAAATAGTATTAGGGCTCATAAGATCTACTTGTTTGGTAGTATCCATTCAGGTATCCAAGATCCACTTCTTTGTAGTATCCATTCTCTCCAATCAGGTAAGCTCTGTCGTTGATCTCCTCTTTGTCTTTATCGAATACCACAGCGATTTTTTTCTCCTCGTCAATGAAGAAACTCCCAGCGTAAAAAGCAAACGGATGATGAGAACCAGTGAGTGGTTTCATATCCACTGCTAAGAACACCTTGCTCCATGACACCACATCCGGCTCAATCTTATTCGTAACCCATATCTCCATCAAACAAGTATCCCGCTGATATAACACTGCAAGCTGGTCTTCTCTAACACTAGAAAGAGTCACGGTCTCTCCATCGTAAGAGTAAAACGGCAGAGGAAGACGCGGTTCAAATCTCTCACTTGTAAAATCAAAACAGATCAAGAAATCTTTGACCTCTTCATCAATCACTACCCATCTTTCCCCTTCCACCACTATTTTTTCTTTAGCAAAAAAATAAGTATTTCCGTTTAAAGACACGCCACGTTGATAAGAATCTATCTCCCAGTCAGGAGTGGCATCAAGAACCCTCCATGAGTTAGACTTCAAATCAAAAATTTCGTGTTCTATAATAGAATGCTTAACAGCATGTTCGTAATGATCCACAAACCTCAAGATTTTTTGGGTTTCCAAGTTTTTCTAGAGCATACACGTCTAATCTGTGGAAAGCGTTTCTAGGTTCGATCGACCTGGTTTGTCCCAAATACGGGTTCCATACCACGAGCCTAGTCTTGTCCTTGGTCAAGCATAAGAGTAAGCCGTTGCAGTGAAAAACTTTTGATATCTCCACTTGATCTAAATTGTTTAGGCTTGTAAGCTTACCTATACCCTTCATATATGGATCGGCCAACTCGTCCTCGTCACAGTCTCCTTGGAATTTTACACTCATCAACCAAACCCTAAATTCAGACAACATAATTAACTGTCTCGCCGCTTTACCAAAGTGCGTCTTCGCAAAGCTCGGATCTTTGGATATAGTGTTCCAACTATTAAATATTCCATTTTAATTAAATTTCCATAACATAAAATAAGTCGGCCTAGTAGTAAACAATTTGGGTTTGTTCCAATCTAACGAAAAAAAAAAATCAACAAGTTTGGTATTATAAAGAGTGCTATTAGAGTCACATCTGTTAATGTGAAACCCTAAAATACCTTGCGATGCACGTTAAACGAATATGGGAAAATTAAACAGAAAGAAAATAAAATAAAGGGTGTTTACTGGGCCGATAATCTTATTGGGTCACAGCTCTGCAGGCCCAAATAATCTGTTAAATTCAAACGACGTCGTCGTCGTTGTGGTGGCTCTGTTGCGCTAATCGTGTGGTAGCTCGTAGCGTCACGGTCCTCCGAAGGCGACGGACGCAGACTTTTCCGTTCATCGTTTTTTTTTTTTTTTTTTTTTTTTTTTTTTGTTTAATCCGTTCATCGTTTTGCCTGAGTGGGAAACACGTCTTATCGAAACAAAAGTGAGTGATCCTTCCCCAAAAGAAAAAAGAAACTGCATATCTTTCTTTATTGCACTACTTCCTCCTGATAAAATCTCACTGGTTTGGTTTTACAGAAAATCAGATGAATGACGTAAAATGCAATTTTCTTTGTATATATAAAGTCATTAAAATATTGAAATTCAATATGTAAATTTATTTATAGACTAAAACGTTGTGTTATTGCATGATATTTATAATATTTTAGCTCATCTACAAAATTTAGCTTTGACATCTCATGATTTAATATTAAAAATTTGAGTGTTATTTTAATCTTTTTCATAAAATTAAATAACATAAGATTTACCTGTGCATGACACGGGTTCTTACATAGTATATAATATAATAGTAGAGAAAAATGATAAATTGTCATATTAATTATGTTTTAGCCGCAAAATAGAAATTTGTTTTTTTTGGAGTTCTAAAATTAAGTCATATAACAAGGTAGAGTTAAAACATAAGAATAGTAGAATTATTTGCATTCCAATGAGTTAGGTGTCTATTTTAGAATAAGAGAATGATGTAATGAATAAAATAAAGAGAGATTATGAATAAAATTGTATTATAGTTTCTTATACTAAAAGGAATAATATATATAGTTATTAATCTAAATGTAAAATTAATTTTCTTTTACGAAAGTAAATATCGTCACATTTGATCTATATAGTTTGTATTGTTATTCTTAAATATATTTTTTGTGATGGAAATCCATAAATTAAAATTTATGAAAAACTTTTACTAATACACCTAAACTCTCGAAAACGACACAATGAAAAGATCGAGAATAATGATGCTTTTTAGTCATATATAGCTCTACATCTAGGTCCTAAACTATCTAGAAACACATTTTCTGTCAAAGGCAGACTTAATTAAGCATCTCTATTAGCATCAATTCCGTTGTAAGTCTATCCGTAATTACCATTGACACTCAAGAACCCACGACACTTTCCCCTCTTCATTTCTTTAGCATGTACCTAAATCAAATGTTAACCGTCATATATAGTTCCATATTTCAACAACGAATACAAATGAATGTGTTGAGTTCATGAAAGTTCGTTTCTCCAAATGTAAAGAAAGCAAATGTGTCTCTCGAGGTGAATAAAGAAAGTGAAGTGATATTGTGTTAAATAATGAAAAATATATTCTTAATTCCACATAAGACAATAATGCAATTAAAAGAAAAATTAAGGTAATGAGAAAAACGAGATAAAATCTGATTCTCTCATATGAGTCTTGAGTCTTGGATTGGATAAACTCTTACGAAGTAGAATTCCCTATGTAAGGTGTATCTAGAAATAATAAACAATTAGGGATTGACCCGCGGTACACCGCGAATGCTTTTTTCTAAAATTTATGATTTTTAATTTTTAATTAATGTATTATTTATAAAAATTTGCAAATTGTATCATTTTTAAGAAATTTATAATTTATAGTTTATAATTGTCATTAAGTAACGGTATACTACATAACAATTTTTGTTTTATACAATTTTAACTAAATTAGACTGATTCGATATGTCTAATATTACAGGTCTTCCAAAATCATAAAATGAGGATTTAACCCGTATTGAAGGGACGAGTTAATGATATTTCAAAATTTTATTAATTTTAATTCAAACCCGTCCCGCCATATAACTCTGTCCCGCCATATAATTTCGTCCTGTAATATAACCTGTCATGTGTTAGTTTAAAATGTTGATATGTTCAAATATTCATAATATTATAAAAAATTTATTGATATTGAATATATAAATTATAATTTTTATTTTTAAAAAAAATTATATGTATTTTTTGAATTCCGACTGTTAGTAGTATTAAAAAATTTCTTCAAATTCCTTGGTATGAATATTTGTTTGGGCGATTTTGTGTTGATAATATAGGGCAATATATGGTAAGTGATTTTGAATTGAAAATCTTAATTTAAATAGAGTATAAATGATTATTGTCGAAATATTAGGAAAGATTGTCTCCAGAGTTTTGGCAAACGAATTAGATTTAGAGAAATGGTCTCCAATAGCCCTAAATGAAGTTTTTGTGACAAAAATAGCACCTCTTAGTTTATTTGACAAAAATAGCACTCTTTTTAAAAAATTAATAAATTTAATAAACAAAAAGGAAAAGAAAGCATTCCACGATCCACGATAAGGCGACGGAGACGATTTCACGTGATAGCTGTCGGCGATGGAGAGAGCTGCCGGCGACGGAGAGATCTGCCGACGACGGAGAAATCTTCACCTATTTTCGATCTTCAAACTGGTATAAATCGATCTCTTTCACCAATTTTTTCTTCTTCTTCTTCCCCAATCGTGTTGACGAAATTAGGCGTTTATTGTTGAATTATGGCTTTCTATTGTAGAATTAGGCAAATTATAGGTGCGTTCATTGATTCAGCATAAAGAATTCTGATGTGTCATTGTTCATCTCTTACCTTTTTCATTGTTGGGCTTGATTGCATTAGAAATCTTAAGTAGATGAGACTTGTAATTGGAAACTATTGATAAATAGATGCTTTACGAATTCTGAACAAAGAGAGTGGTTTTGGTATCTGTAGATGATTTACATATGATATAAGGTAGATGATATAAACATATGATATATGATTCAGTCAAAGAAGCTTACGCTCGTGCTAAATCGGCGAAATCTCCGACGAATCCACAAGCTTTGTTTATTGAGGAAAGATCATGTGTTTGGAGCTATGTCGATCTAAGATTGTAACGGATTTGTATCTCGTGATCTCTAGTCCTGTCCTTTTTTTTGTTTATATGGTTTCTGGATTTGATTAAATCTTGTTGGTGAATTAAAGTTTGGATGATGAAGACGAAGTTTGCATCTGCGAGGAAATGACGATTTGGTACTTGGAGAACTTGAGGTAAGCAACCAAAACTTCTTATCTCCATGCATTACCATTAATCTTATAAGTTAGGATCTATGTGACATTTATGCAGGCTGAAGAAGGCACTAGAATGGACATCTCAGTTTCTGTGCCACAAAGTGATACATGTTCAACGCCTGAAAAAGGACAGGGCAATTATTCATTATTTTTGCCTCCTGCTCGAGATTCTACCGTGATTCCTATAGGAAGTTCACATTCAACGGCTGCACATAAAAATCAGAAGTTAAAATCTCAATTTCATAGGGTTTAGGAAGGATACATTTAATTTTAGGATGACCTTCCTAAATAATGCAATATACAGATATGATCCTAACTAGTCGTCTTTTTTTTTTTTCAATTTGAACTGTTTATTCATATGCCTATCTATTTTTGGGTTTGTAGAACCTCATCCTTTAGTTGGAACTTCTTCTATCTCTGCTGCACATGAAAACCAGAAGGTAAAAACTCAATTTCATAGGTTTTAGGAAGGATACATTTAGGTTTAGGATGACCTTCCTAAATACTGCAATATACAGATATGATCAGTTTCTAGTCGTCTTTTTTAAATTTTAACTCTTTTTCATATGCCTATCTATTTTTGTGTTTGTAGGAACCTCACCTTTCAGTTGAAACTTCTTTTATCTCTACTGCACATGAAAACCAGAAGGTAAAAACTCAATTTCATAGGTTTTAGGAAGGATACATTTAGTTTTAGGATGACCTTCCTAAATACTACAATATACAGATATGATCCGTTTCTAGTCGTCCTTTTTTCAATTTTACCTCTTTGTTCATATGCCTATCTATTTTTGCGTTTGTAGGAACCTCATCCAACAGTCGGAATTTCTTCCATCTCTGTGCCATATAATGATACATGTTCAACGGTTGAAAAGGGAATAGGCAATAAGTCATTGGATTTGCTTCCTGCTCATGATCGTAGTCCGATTCCTATAGGCGGTGTACATTCAACACAAGGTGCTGATGATATATATGTTAATAAATATTTCATGAACAAGGCTGAGTTAATGCAGAAGATGAGGACATGGGAGTTGGAGTATAAGTTTGAGTTTAGGTATCGATGGTCTAATAAAGAGAGAGTGGTTTTGGTATCTGTAGATGATAAATGTACTTGGAGGATGCGTGCAATAAGGGTAGACTCTTGTGATTTCTTTGTGGTGAAAAGTATTGTCATGAGCACACATGTGACACTACACACAGAAATGAAAATCATAGGCAAGCTACTGCGAAGTTATAAAATCTCTTTTTATGTCATGATGTGTTTCGTGTTTCATAGAAATATAAACGTTCGTTTGTATAAGATCTTATAATTAGAAGCTTGGCTCACTGGTTACATGTTCTATTACAAAAACAATAGGTCCCGGTTTTGAATCTTGGTGGAAGTAATTATTACAGCTTTTTGTTAGGGAAGACCTTCCTGAATATGTATATATCCTTCCTGAATATTTGAAAACCCTTCATGAATTTCAAAAATTATTTACTTTTGCGTAATTTGCCTCAAATCATTCACAAATTGCACAGTTAAGATGCAAAGGATATGCTGAGAGCATACAACTGAGTGGATAATCTGTACGAAACATATGGTATCTGACAAAATACCATACATTGAATATCTAAAAAAAATATAAATAGAAACAGATGATACTTTTCTAGTTCAGAACCATCATAGAAGTACCAAAACAGTCTAAAACGGTTTCACAAGCATCATACATCCAATAAAGAAAGATGGTCCTAAGAAATCTTAACACACTCATTGAAGATATCCACAACGAACTTGTTTCTGATGTCTTCTGAATCTATATCACGCAGCTTGGAGAAATCTTCAATTCTCTGATTTTCTGAAACTCTGTAGCAGAGAAGATGCGTTGTACTTTATCGATATACTCATATCTTGCACATTGATTTATCCCATCATTTGAATTTGGCTCCTGTCCTATATTGTACAGAAGCGTTGGCAGTTTGACATCTGTTGGAAACGAATCTCCCATTTTCCTGCAACTAAAATTAAAGGAAATCAGTAAACATAAATATTCAGGAAGACCTTCCCGAATTACTATAAGTCCTTCCCGAATTAGGAAGACCTTCCCGAATCAGGAAGACCATTCTAGAATGCAAACTAAAACAACTCTATCAAGCAAAGAGAACAGACAATAACACTACAAAAACAAGTAAAGAATGTTTATTCATATCTTCATATCACAAACTTGAATCTATAACTATGTGACGATATATCTCTCAAATTGTGACAAAAACTAAACTCATCTAAAGTGATAAACTAATCTTATATTGTCTTAGTCTTAAACAGTCTTAGTCTTAAATTGTATTAGTCTTAAACATAACAGTCTTAGTCTTAAACTGTCTTAGCTTGTAATGTATCAGTCCAATAGATCACAAAAATCTTCAATAGATCATCTTGAATGCAACAAAATCTATAAACAACACATGCGTCAAAAACTCAAAGCATTCTGCTGACATTAGATTCATTCAAAAAAAAGAGAACTACATTCAAAGTAACCCAGAATCAAATCATTCATAAACGAGATAAAGATTCCAAATTTAACAAGACACAGCTAAATCGGGTTAACAAGAGTAACAATTTGCAGAAATCCATTACTTTGAAGCTCTTCAGGATCTGATAAAAACAAGACAAGGAGGATAGAGATGTACCTTCAAAGCCTTGAGCTTGATGTTGCGATAGATAAGAACCAACCCAAAAGCCGAAGCACGAGCAACCTAAATCGATACAAAAAAAAAAGACAAGTCAAGGATACGAATCGAGAAATTGATCGGGGGAGAGAGAGAGATAGTTTAGTTTACCAGAGCAAGAGTGCTGGTGCCGGAGTAAAGAGGATTCCAGCAGAGACGTTCCAGATTCCGGCGGAGGCGCCTAATGAATCCAATTTTCCTGCACAATCGGCGTCGGATGAGATAACGCCTAATGAATCCGACGAAACTGCGGATCTCCGGCAAAGTCTTCGAATCTCCGGTAAAGAAATCAGATCCGGTGAGCGACGGAGTCGTCGAAAGCGACATGTTTTTGGAAGTCGTCGGGTTTGGAAGAAATGAAATTAGGTAGGTTTGTGTATTTTCTAAACTTTGTGTGCTATTTTTGGAAGTTTCAAAAGAAAGTGCCATTTTTGGAATAATATACCTTTTTAGTGCCATTTGTATAAATTGCCCTTAGATTTACATATATTTAATTAAAGAAATAAATTTTAAAAATTAATGACGGTGGCATTACAATGTAAATAAGTGCCAACTGCAGGATTTATTTCAAAAATGTCTCCGAAAATATATACTATATAGATCCTTCAATGAGAGAACTAATAAATGTATCATGTGAAAAATTAATAATACAAAATATTTACCCCAACGGATGCTCCAAAATTTTGGTAGTAAATGTCTTAGGAGTAAGGAAAATACTTTATTTATAGGAAAACATATACATAAGCCCGCATTTGTATTAAACAAAATCGTAACAAACAAAGAATCAAAATCGTAGAAATATTATATTATTAATAGAGAATATGCCATGAAAAATAAAAATTAGATTATTAATAGAGAATATGCCATGAAAAATAAAAATTAGATTGCTCGAAACTGAAGCATAGATTCTTAACATTAACTGATAACCTTAACATTTTGTAGCATGGTATTTTTCTTAAACTGTGTGTTAAATTCCAAATTCAAACCACAAAAAAAATTACTCACCTAATCTTATATAGTTTATAAACATGCTCCATTACACATGTTTATTTTTAAAAGTTAAAAAGATTAGTGGCTTTATTGCAATGCTTACCTGACGCTGTTTTGAGCAGCATCTTTTCATTAATATTTATCTCGGAGACTGAAAGAGAAAAGAGATGATAATTAGTCTCGAGCTCTCGCTTTGTTTACTTTATTGGCTCATTTGATTTGAGCTAAGTTTGTCTTGATTTATAGAATTTCCTGTAAAGCTTATGTGTTTTAAAAAGACCCAAATTTTTTTTTTCGTATTTGGCTCCGGATTTTATATGGAGGACCGAATCATTTTGCACCTTTAATATTTTACACATATAATTCTCTATTGGATTTTATTGATATAAGCTTATTTGAAATGTTCATAGTTTTGGTCGAGTATGAGAACATCTCATAACCATAAATTTGCCACTAGATAACTCTCATTCATCATTTAAAGCCGATCACTAAGGATTTTCTTCATACTATCACTATTAGAAGGATAGTTAAATGGTAGTTTCTAAGTCTTTTATTTTATGAAAAAAAGTCTGTTGTTTTCTCCAGCACGAGTTACATGAAACCAAAAAAGAAACCACCTTCATCACAAACGCTCATTACATGAATCAAGCAAGACCAACAATAACACAATAACAACTAAATCTGGTCCGGTAAAATCCGGGGCCGAATACAGAATTTGAGACCTTTTTAAAATGTAAAAACTGATAAAAATATATTTTTTGCTAATTATGGGGCATTTATAATTTTTATTTAACAATTTTTCTTAATATTTGGACATTGCTTGCTAATAATAGGATTTTTTGCTAAGTATGAGACCTTTTTGCTAATTATAGGGCCTTTTGTTAATTTTGAAGCTTATTTTACTAATTTTGAAACCTATTTTACTAATCATAGGGCCTAAGAAAAAAAGAAATCCTCACAAAATGGGCCTCAAATTTTCGAGGCCCAATACAAATGTTTCACTAAAATGTGTGAAGGGTCGGGCTTGGTATAAAACACAATGGTTCGTATGATTTTGTTTCCTTTTGGGGTCAAAAATTTGTATGTATATTGAATATACACATTGAAACCATCTTTTAATTTGCTTTTTGGTTTAAATCATCACAACCCATTTGCTAATTTTGCCCTAAGATCTCTCCTCAAAATCTTCCATATATGATGGAGGCATGGAGCTTTAAGAATGGATTTAGTGAAAAACACTTTGTTTGTAAAACACAACCTACCTGTGATCCAAATAACTTTACATCAATGATCACAACTATTCAAGTTTCACTTTTTGCATCATTGACCATAAGTTTACAAATATATATTTCTTGAGATTCACTTATCAGTTTCTCCATTACTTGGTCGCCAGAGAAAAAAAAAATAGAAGTCAAGCGGTCGAAAATTTTCTTTGGAATCCCAGATTCTCCTTGTCTTTCTACGATATTATATCCACCAATAGGTTTTGGAACATAGAAGATCAAGTCTTTTGAGTTAGAGTGAGATCACGTTTATTCAAAATATAAATTAATAGATCACTAATAATAATCAATTAATCAATAACATTTGGTTTGCCGCTATGCTGCGGGTAATTTTTGTAAATTGATTTTGTTTTCATATATTTCGCAGGGTATTCATTAACATCTTGTTTATACCGCTTCGAAGCGACAAATGTCAATGGCTGAATTGAGTTCGCCGATTTTCTCATTCAATACCTCTCTTCTCTCCTATTATAAAAACCAAATCCACATTTGTGTCTTAGTTTAGTATTTTCAATGAATGGAATTAAATATGAGATTTACTAACAATTATAATACTAAGTTTTTCTTTTTACCTTTAGGCCTTCGTCATAAATCATAATACATCGGCTGATATGGTTTCTTGAAACCATATTCATTCTCGTTCAGGCTTAGAAGTTAGAAGAGTTGACTATGTGAATCTTAGACGCATGATGTGTTGTGTAATACATGCAACGAGTTTGATATAATAATTTCTTGTTTATAGAATAACTAGATATAGACCCGTGCAACGCACGGGTTACCGATCGAAATTGTTATTTTCAATTTTTATTTTTGTAAGTTAAACTAAAATTATATAAAAATATGTTTTAATTTTAGAAAATGTAGTATTTTAATGATTTGTTAAATATAGATTAATTATGCATAATGTGTAATATAAAATACTTTTTGTAGTTTTGTTTATTATATGTTACAGTATGATATTTAATAAATGTTTATATGTGTATTATTGAATTTTAATAATTTATCTATATCCATCGGAAGAGTGTATAACACTTTCTAATTTTAATGTGGGTAAGATAGAAACAAAATTGTGACAATATGAGATGGTCTATATCCACATCATGTAACTTTACTTGATAATATAAAAAATCCTCAAAACAAAAAAACAAATTCGTAATGTTTATAACTGAATTATGAATATACATCAAAAATTTATCCAAAATAGTTTTACCTTTAATGGTTTCATCGATTTTATTGATGGATAAGATCGATTTATATTTAATGCACATATGGTTGATGGAGCATTTACCACTACAAGAAAAATCTACATTATTAGCATGAGAGAAAAGCTATAATATGTCATTAATAGCGTTTTCATAAACGCTGTTTCTGCCCCAGTTATTATAGACCCCCACATACGATAGCGGTTGTCGATATGCTATGAAATGTCGATCTATTATAGTGCTAATCGAATGCTATTATATACTTTATTGTAACACACATTTAATGTTGTATTATATAGTATTGTAGCATTTGTTTTTTGTTTTATAAATTTAATTTGATTTATATATAATTTGTATATTTGATCCCTGTTTTGCAATATTTATTCAATTGGATTTATATAATTTTTTTTTTATTGCATAAATTATCAAAAACATTCATTATACAAAACATACATAACCTGTATTACATACAATAAAATAACTAATCTTCATAGCCTAAAGTCTTGGATCATACAAAAGAATAAGCCTTTGTTGTAGAAACTTTCTTACTTGTAGCGAAGCTACTCTTTTCAGTTGCTCATTTTGCCTTTCCTGATTCGTCAATGATACCTGAAATAACTTACACAAACAAACTAGTTTGCAGAATAAACTCAAAAAATAAGATTAGTTTGCAGAATAAGCTCACATTAGATAAAAACAAGACAAAAAAAATAGACCTACAAAACTCTACAATATAGACATGTATCCCTAACCACCTAATCTTCATAAGTCTAACACTCACAAAGTTCTCTCTTTTATGACGTTC